TAAGTTACACCGTTTATCAATAATTACAAACTAGAAGTTATAAGTATACATGACTTTATCGTCATAGACGAAAAAAATTTGTTATCTTAAAAAAAAACTACTTAAATCTTTCATAACATGCTTTAAAAGTAAGATAGGAAAGTAAAGAAAAAAACATTTTATGGATAAACAAAATCATTCATATCTTTTGATTGGAATTTTGATATAAAATTTACCTTTCTTCCGAGAAAAAATATTTCGCAGAAAAGCCATTTTTTCACACTGCATTTCAATTATTTCAGTAACCTTATGTTTTCGTGAAATACAGTTTGCGAGATCGTTTTAAAGATTATACTGTATCCTTCCGTAATTTCATATTTTTTCATTTTCTATTTATTGATCAAATCTTTCTATTCATTATATAGTGCAGGAATCTACGTCTATGTCACACGACGTTATTGAATCAGACATAATGAATCCGACGGTTACAACCGAAATTGAAGCATCAGATATGCATGGATCATCACGACAGACTTTTGAAGGACCTCGTAATCAAGATCACTTTTCTTCTACAGGTAAATTGCTCCTGTATAATTTTTTGTAAAATTTTTAATTTATAGTTTTTAAATGTTTAACAGTTTATAATATTGAAAAATAATCACATACAATTGTGTGTAACGTTTTTTTTTAAATCTTTTCGTCTCTCAATAATTTAAAAGGTAAGTTAGAGTTTATTCTTCAAAAGATATGTCTGATTCGATTTTAAGACATTTTATAAAAAATAATTTGAACAAACGACGGTGTTCTTAATTTTTAAGTTAGAAAAACTTGCATGCTGTACAAATATATCTTCTTTCAGCCGATCTGTAGTAAGCTATTTCTTTATAACTAAGACATTAAGAGCTTCGGAAATTTTGGAGAAGAAAAAGTCTTAGAATACAAACAGATATATGTCTTTCGAAGGAGACAACCCTGGTAGCAAGCTGACGTCAAAATGACGTCATTTGACGTCAAAATGACGTCAAAATGACGTAGCTTGCTACCTGGGAAGTGTGATTATTCTAATTCAACCTACGTATATTATATATTTTTTATTTTTTACGTATTTTTTACATACTCTCTCTTACTTTCTGATGGTGTCGGTAGTTGCTGCTGATTTGGAGCCAGAAGTCCTGTTTAACGATGCTAGGACGACCGAGTCATCTTTACGTACTTATCGAAGATCCCGCGGGAGACGCGGTTATAATACGCAGAGAAGTAAGAAGTAATACATCTTAGTTTTTCATCTTGACTGATAACCTGAAAAATCATTTTTATTCTCTTTTCCTTTATAGAACTATATTAATTTTTTGCATAAATATCAATTTTCTTTATAATTTATAAAACATTCTTATAATCCATAAAAAATTTTTGTCCTATTTCTATCGTAATTTCGTTTAATATCTAAAATTTAATATCTTAAATTCTACAAATTTATATAAAAGTTCTACAAAATATTTTAATACAGAAACCAATAAAATTAAAATGTGACATTTAATGTTCTCCTGGTGAAAATTTTTGTTAGAATTTTCCATATAATTTTTTTGAAAGTTTATATAAGTTTTATAAATTGTCAATATTTTTAAATAATTTTTTTAAAACTGTATCAGAGCTTTTTTTTAGAAATTGCAACACTTTTCAGAAGTGCCGTCTACATCTTTTTTATAATTTTTTGTACGCAAGCTCTAAAATATTCTTGGATTTTTATTGTAAAGTTTCTCGTTTCAAATTATCCGATGAAATGTTATAAAATCTGAGAAAAAAGTTTAGAGCTTTCTTTTCTAAAATTCAGAAATTACAAAAAAAAAGAAAATATAATATTTTAGAATTGTTTCACTAGGGTATACTCTATATTTTTATTATTGTAACAGTTGCACCTGGCAATATCCGCACACTTAATGCAGCACCTATAAGTGAAAATAGACGAGATCGTGGGATGCCTCGCAGTTGGCACGGTAGATCTACGAGATTAAGACTAAATCATCAGGAAGTCGTACAAGGTAAAATACATGTTTTTATCAATTATCGTTAATATATCTCTGTTATTGACTGTAAAATTTATGTTAACAGTTCTAAAATTTACTGCCAGTACTGAAAATCTATTGTTTACGTTACGTGCATTATATATTTTCAGTACTGGCAGTAAATTTTGGAACATCTCGTAATATATCAATACAAAATCTATAATAAGACTATTAATAGATAGAAAATAACTTAAAACAAGCTACTCATTTATCCATTCCAAAGATATGTTCCTGACTCGATTTCAAGACAATATTTCTTTTTAAAAAAGGATTTGAACAAAAATGTCCTATTTGAATCTTAATTTTGTAATTACAAAAATAATTAACGTGTATTACGAAAATATCATCTTGCGTCAGATTTGTAATACGCTTTTTTATGAATAAGAGATTAAGATTCGGACAAAAATTTGGAAAGACAAGTCGTAATTTATTTTCTACATATAACTAGTAATGTCGGAAACAGGCATCGATAATTTGGGATCGGAAGCCCTATTGGACGATACTACAACGAACGAGTCATCTTCACGTGTTCACGGAAGATCACGCGGAAGACTACGCGGAAGACCTCGCGGAAGACCTCGCGGAAGATCCGCCGGAAGACGCGGTAGACGAACTCATATGCAAACAAGTAAGAATTTATATCTTAGTTTTTCATCTTGGCTGTCATCTTAAAGAATAGTTTCTAATGATTTATATGTACTGTACGTACAATATACACATGTAGTCGTTAATGCCTTAATACGCCTTTTCATACTTTCTTCTCATTCCTTTTCCCCGTGTAACTTGGGATGTAAAGGCATTAATGACTACGTGTGTATATGCATTTAATTAAACCAATGTAACTTAATCGATATTAAAAGCTATTATTTTTATGATATTTGATTTTATGATATTTGATTCAGGCGGTATTTTTGTGTATATCGTCAACAAAATTATTGATAAAATATGATAATAAATTGATATCAATTTAGGACACGCGAATACTGTACAACAAAGTACAGAGACGATTGATTTGATGGAGAACACACGGGAATCTGATCAAGCACCAAATGATACAACGCCGTCTGTAAATGAAGGTGAGTTCTGAATTTATACACAAGAGCGACGTGTTTAATAAAAAAATATTCTTTCCATTTAACGAGTGTGTAAAATCCTCGATGTGAGGTATAGGGTACTGATCAGGTACCGTTCTCGCGTTGAGTTTTCTATAATCCCCGCAAGGTCTCTAGGTATTCTCCTTTTTGGGAGCCATATGTAATGGTGCGGCCCATGGGCTTTTGGAAGGCTGGATAATCCCTTCTTCCAATAGGAGATTAAATTCTGCTTTTGCTGCCTTTAATTTATCAGGTGCTAGCCTGCGTGGTCTGCATGCTTCTGGTGGACCACTCGTGGTCTTAATGAAGTGCATGGTTGAGTGCGGCTGGTGCTGTTGATGTCTCCCTGGGGCTTGTGTAATTTTGGGGAACCGTGCCAATAATTGATGATAGGGAGTGTTTCCTATCAAGGATTTTATTGACGAAAGTTCTTTTCTATTTGCAGTCCCATTTGCTTTGAGTCCAGTTTTCGCGTCGACTAGTTGACCTTGCTTCATGTCCGGTAGGAGATGAAAATGCGCGAGGAAATCGGATCCTATAATCGGGGTAGTTACGTCGGCTACCATAAAGCGCCACGGAAAAGCACGGCGTAATCCGAGATTAGGTTGCAAAGCGATGAACCCGTATGTTGATATGGTAGACCCATTTGCAGCAAAGAGTACGGGTGAACTAGATGATCGTCGTCCTCGAATCATTGTTCGTGGATAGACGCTGACGTCGGAACCGGTGTCTATGAGGTACCGCGTTTTGTCTACGCGGTCCGTGACGAATAAGCGGCAGAATCTCGGGCTTGAGCCGTTTGCCGCGACCAACGGGTGCCCATCTAGTTTTCCGCTTCCTTTTTAAAGTTACACGGCTGTGTGCACTTCTTGGCTTTTTCTTTAAAACGCCGGTGATAGAAGCACTTTCCTTCCTCTTCTGTTTTTCCCCTGGAGCGACTTCGAGAGCGTTCACGCCCTTTCCTTTGCGTGTGTGCACGCGAGAGTTGGCCTTTCAAGCTAGCCACTTGTTTTGTTAATTTTCGAATTTGCTGCTCCATGTTCGCTGGTTGAAT